CGATGTTGCATCGATTTAGGTGTCTTTGGAGGTGCTTTTCAGTATCCAGTTGACTTTGTATGCATTGAGTCCAGGCTACCCTGAATAATGAGCAATCTAAGAGAGTTCAGTGAAACACACTTTAATTAGGACAGAGCTGCAATTCTGATGTCAATGCAGGGTCCTAGGAGAAGTAATGTGCTATTGTTTCTTCAAAGATGAGTGCAGCCTTCATTTTGGATGGCTTTCTTTGTTTCACCTTTTGCAGTTTTCATTAAGCCTTTTTAACATAGAGAATGATAGCTTATCCCATTGTGCCAAAAATATCTATAGGTGTGTATTCAGCTGTGCCAAAGAGAGAATTTTTGACTCCGGCTTTGTTTAACAGGGATGTTGCTTTTGGAGTTGAAATTAATCACAGGAAGGCGGGGTTCTTACCACTTGGACTAATGTTTGACAACATTTTAAAATTTCTGTTAATGGTTGCCTGGATTATTTTCCAAATCAAACAATAAGTAATCTTAAAATTCTGTAATAAAGATGGTACATTCTGAAGGAAAAAAAAAAAACATTTAATGGCGAAGGCCAAGCTTAAAGAAACCCAAACAAATGCAGTGTGAGCTTTTGCTTCTGGGTATCTTCTCCATAGAGTTCTCTTTCATTTCAGAAGAGCCCCCTGCTGCCATTTAGTCCTCAAACTTAAAAATTGATGTGCTTACTGTATCAGATTGTGGAAACCACAGAAACTTGTGTATTGAGTCACCAGTCACATGGCTGGCGGGCTGCCACCATGCGTCTGGTATCAGTGGAGAGCCCTGCTGATATCTGAAAGCCGTCAGGAATTATTTCCCTGCTCCTGAAAAGCCAAACGTTGCCATTTAAGTACTTTGTTAAAATAACTGTTTTGATTTAAAACTGGATGCTGTTAAAGGGCTCAGTATATTTTTTAGTAGAGGAAAACTTCAGATTCCTAACTGTGCTTCACTGCCCCTTCCCAAACCCCCTCCCTTGGTCCAGCCTGAAGTGTAATAAATTATCCAGTGTAATATTTTACTTCAATATCAGTTTTGAGGAAAAAATAAGGAAGACATATTATGAAAGTTTGTCATTTATTGTAGTACAGTATCATCTATAGTAAGAAAGTGTGATAGTCATCCATTGTGACTACCCCCAGGGTCTGTTTAGTTTTAAGGTGCCATGTGTGCTGAAATGGACACAAGAAGGGGCACTCGACAGAGCACCTGCTTGCTCTTTGGACCCCGTTGTAGCAAACGCCACCTCGTTCAGATTTCAGAAGGTCGCATAGCAGTGGCGGAAAGCGCGTTTTCGGCTACAATAATGAGTTCTTTGCACGTGCCCAGACCCCACTCTCCCTCATTCTCTGCTTCCTGCTGTGGACATGGAGAATACCCTTTCTTTGTGTCCACAGTTAGGCTTGGACGCTCGTTTGGGGAAGAATAAATTGATGCCATTTTATAATTGCTTCCCCCTCTTCATCTCTTGAAATACTTCCTAAATTACCTTGATCTTCAAGAATTTCTAAGAAGTAGGCTGCCTTAAAAAGAAAGTACCTGTTCCCTGGACCCCAGCCAGTGTGGCTCAGTTGGCTGGGCGTCGTCCCGTGCACCGAGGGTCAGGGCACATGCCTGGATTGTGGGCTCCATCCCCAGTAAGGGGTACGCAGGAGGCAGACCATCCATGTTTCCTTTCACATGGATCTTTCTCGCTCTCTCCATCTCCCTTCCTCTCTCTAAAAGTCAGTAATTTACTTTAAAAGTAAATTATTGTCAAAGGTAAACATCGTAAACCTCCTTTTGTGAGCGTAGCCCCTTTAAGCTGTGTGTCACCAGGAGCTTGCGGAGCATTCTCAGTGATGTTGACTCTCCATGGCTGAGTCTTGAAGGACTCTCGGTGTCTGGAAGGAACTTCTTGAAATGTAACATAAATGGTACGTGTGTGTTGTGTCATGGACTGTGATAGCCTAAGGGGCCTTCCACTGTATACTAAGGGGGCATTTTTCTAGTAGCACCAAATAAAATATTATTTTTATTTTTGCTAAGTAACTGAATTTGTGCTTTTAACTTCAGCTGAATCACATCGTAACTTTCACAAACTACATTAAAAAGAATCTTATTTCTGAGATAAAAATAAATATCTCAGGCACCTTAAAATTTTGTAATTTCAAAATTTTTGTAATTTCATAGCTTTTTACTGGTGAGAAAATGACATCTCTCACCCGTCAAATAGGTCTATTAGCATGAACTAGAGTACAAAACATAATACTCTTCAATTAAAACAGTATCTGTTAGAAGTGGTACCTTTGCACTTTTTCTCTTAGGGGCTTGTGGTCACAGCAGGGAAAATGGTCATCAGTTTCAAAACGAAAAGCGACTTGATGTAGAATGTGATGTGCTACAAAGCCACGGGGCTGAACAAGGCCTGCGGTAATTGTAGAGGAAGGAGCGGTGGGCAGTGCCTGCCGTCGGGTGTAAGGGTGTAGGTGGCCCTGTGGCTGGTCCTTTGGGCATCTGTGATATGAAAAGAGCTGAGGGAGATCTATCATAGCAATCGGTAAACATCTGAGGGTTGATCCTCCTCAAGTTTCCTGGGTTGGAAAAAATATTCGAAGAGACATTAGGTCTGCCATCTAAGTGTATTCATTTTTTTCTTTCATTATTTTAGTCAACAGTTAGGGGGAGCTGCCATGTGCTAGGTTCTGTGCTAAGCAGAAGACCCGGCCCACCCTGCAAGAAGCGGCCTACTTAGGGGAGACAGCAGGACATATGATAGGGAGTGTAAGGACCAGACAGAGCGACCGGTTCTCTAGAAAGGTGGGGGCAGCGAGAGAGCTGCAGGAGAGAGAGCCAGACAGGTCCAGGAGAACTGCCTCCCACCCACCTTGTACCACGTCCACCATTGCTAATGTAGAATGGGAGTCATGTTTCATATGGACTTTCCGTTCCACCATGTGGTCTGACTTATGATCTGTATTAAATGTGATAAATTGACCCTTGAATAGTGTGCGGGTTAGGAGCCCTACACCCTGCACAGTAAAAAATTTGCATATAACTTTTGACTCCCTAAAACCTTAATTACCTTCAGTATCTGTGCGGGATTGGCTCCAGGCTCTACACAGACGCCAGTATCCGCAGCTGCTCAAGTCCCCCATGTAAAATGGCCAGGATCCATGCATAGAGTCAGCCCTTTGCATCCATGGACTCCCAGCCAAGGATAGAAAGCAGTACTGGTATTTATTTTTAAAAAATCCATGTGTCAGTTGGACTTGCACAGTTCAAAACCACGATTAATGGTCAACTGTATAAATGATCTTTTTTTTCCCCTTACTTCTACTATCTCTTAAAATACACATTAGATCATTGCTTGGAAGTATTTTTATTTATTTTAATGGATTTGTATTACATAGGATTTGAAAAAAATTGTTAAACGTATGTAGAAGTTTAAAAATGCATCTTAAAGGAATTACAAAATACTTTTACTGCTTTTATTACTGTTGTACTCTTAAGTAATTTAGTGATTACTTTCGAAACTATTGGCATGGCCAGGAAGGCTCATTGCTGGGGATGCCTGTTGACTCTTTTATTTATTTAACTGACTCTTATTAAATTAAAGTCATTTTTCTTGTACATGCTTATTAAGGACAAGCGTGTAAAATTTGGGCTTCAGTTATAACACTTGCCATTAATCTTACTATGAGCAAGGCCTTTTGCTTTTCTTATACATTTTATTGAATTTAGACCTATTTTAAATCTTGCCAAACTTGGAGGGAAAGTCCACTATCAGGGTCACATATTTGCCACCAGTAAGAATTTTACATGAAAACAGATACTGCATTTCTGATCCTGCGGGGCGTGCAGAGACCCTCCTAGCTGAATGGGCTCTGCCCTGACCAGGGCTTGCACACTCCTTTTTCCCACGCCACCCTCCCGGCCCTCACTCTCTGAGTGGGAGGTGCTCTCCGCAGAGCTAACTGTCAAAACCCGGCAGCTCTCCAACCCGGATGGCCTCCCTCTGTGTTCTTCTGTCTCTGACTGCTCCTTCCCAGTCTCCTTTTCTACCCACCTTGTAAGTAGATATTCTCCAAGGTTCTCATTGGTTAGTTTATCCACTGACACAGACTGAGCTACTTCAGTCCCCGCCCCCTCGGGGCCCTAGCTGCAGCCTCTGCCTGGAAATTGCTTACCTCAATAGCCCTGTGGCTGAACTCCTCACTGCCTTCAGGATTTTGCTCCTATGTCTCCATCTGCCATCCCAGTAGGACATTCTGAGATATTAGCTGTTGTATTTAGTCTCCTCTTTCTGGAATGTAGACTCAGACGTCAGAGATTTTGGTCTTAACCCCTGGAGTCTAGAACAGAACCTGGTTCGTGAGTGGGCCTCCGGTTCCTGGGCTGGAGTGGGGACTGTGCAGGTGGGCTCGCAGGCCCTGTGAAGCTCTGACACCCTGTCTGACACACCTCGGTGGCTCACACTCCGTTCCAGAAGTGAGGTGACGTCCTAGAAGCCTTCCTTTACGTGACTCCTCACAACTGGATGTTTATGTTCTGCTTACACAACAGTATCGCTGTTGTCTGTGGTTAAGTGACTTCTTAAAAAAATACAGTGGAGCCCTGGCCAGTGTGGCTCAATGCTTAGAGCATCGTCCATACACTGAAGGGTTTGGGGTTCAATTCCTGGGCAGAGCACATATCCAGGTCGTGGCTTCGATCCTCAGTTGGGGCACGTGCGAGAGGCATCTGATTGTCTCTCTCTCCCTTTCCCTCTCTCTCTAGAATCAATGAAAAACATATCCTCAGGTGAGGATTAAAAAAATATATACAGTTGTAGTGAGCAAAACACTTGGCTTCTAAATGAAGTTTATAAAAACTACTACATTTTTGTTTACCTCCATGTTTTTTATGTTTTAAAACTCACTGACCAACTTTTATAAGAATGATCATTTTAGCCTGCCTGTTTTTGTCAAGTAAAATAGCAATCACAGTCTTTTCTTTCTCTAATTTTAGATATTGCCTCCTGCAGACAGGACTCTAAGAAAGGAAGGATTGCTGTGACTTCGACTTACCATCCAGAACGCACTCCTTCCTTTCAAGTAAGTGCATTGCTTTTTGCTTTGATCCATTCCCAGCAGAAGGTATTGATTCTCTCTGAAAATCTGTGTCATTATTACATTAAGACAACGAGGCGGAGGTTTTAGATAGTTGGCTGTCTGGCAAAAGCCAAAAAGGAGTCCCCTCCTTTGAGGTACCCGCCAGCACCAAGTAACAGTAACAGCGATTTGCTTTCCCAGGGGGTTCTGTGATGTGTCTTCTACACATCCGCTCGTAGTTGCGGTTTTTAAAGCTGGTATATTTACCGTCATCAGGTAGACAGCGGTGCGTGGACTTGAAGACAACAGAGAACATGGGTATCTTCACACTCCAGTGAGAAGTACAGTCTTGGTGGGGGATGAGATGTGTTTTCTGACACGCCAAAGGTGTGGGGTCAGCAGCAGGTGCCCTGGGTCCTGGGGAGGGCGGTGTTCGCAGGGGCCTTGTGGAGGGGTGGAAGCTGCGGGCCGGCCGAGGGCCGACAGGGGGCAGGCGTGGGAGGGCAGCCCAGCCAGCAGCCTGGCGGATGTGTGTGCACGCTGGAAGACACTGCTGGGCACTTGGCCCCAGGTCCACGCCACTCGGGGCTTTTCTCCTGGTCTCCAACGCCGGTGGAGAGCCTGGGAACACCCCTGACCGGACCCATGAAGGAGCTGGGGAAGTGGATGAACCCCAAGGTACCAACGTTCCTCCTCTTTACAGAGGGCCTGAGAGCCCCGATCACCGAATGAGGAGCCTGGGAATGTTTAGGACATTGGGAGACGGCTCTCTAGCCCACTCGTGTCGGCAACGACGTGAGTGGTAAAGAGCAGCCTCATGAGAACACGAAGTCTTAACCTCAGTGCCGTAGTCCCCAGTGGCCATATGCTCTGATTTGATTGACAGCTTTCTGGGAGTCTCTGCAGCCGCCATGGGTAATGGACCATTGCTTGTATAGCGCGCTCTGCATTTTACAGTTTGTTATTATGCCATTATGCAGGGCGCTGTTGGGTGGATGGCAGTGCTTTCCAGGAGCCTCAGGATCTAACTTAGGCTGACAAGTAAGAACCAGCCTGTGCCAGGTGGAATTCTACAATCTCTGGAAAGAGACAATTCAAGAAAAGTCGAGGAGATAGCTCAGCGATACATCCTAAAGCCATTCCTCATTCACCATATTACCTTATCTCCTTATCCCAGATATAAGACGTTCTGACGTGAAAGCCTTGGGCTCCTGCTGGCTGGAGGGAACTGGTGCCTCCCATCCCCAGCCTTGTAGAGCCCAGGCGGGGGAATGGCACCTGGCACAGGTGGAGTTCATGGGAAATGCCTCCGACAGGTTGTATCCTCCACTCTGCGTCATCCTGGGAGCACACCCATCTGGTCCGCCCCCAAGTGAGGGGTTTTCTGGGACACGGGACTCTCAAGTGCTAACAGCAGAAAAGTCCCCCGCAAACAGGGGCCTGTGGTCCCTCAGGATTCTCTGCATCCCTACTCGCATACACAGCCAGGTGATGGTAACGCTCACCAGCTGGCTCCTGACAGCAGGGGAATTCGCAGCCCTAGTGGCCAGGAAAGGACTGGGGGAGGGGGGTTGAGTAGACACGGCTGTAACGTAACCTCAGCTTCCCGCTTACCAAGCCTGCTACTGAACTCCAGCCTCAGTTTCCCCTGTGCCAGATAAGAACCCCAGTAAGCTAGTGTGGATTTGGGGAAGGTTACGTGGTACAGCTCTGGGAGGTGCCTGGTACAGCACAGAGATTCGAGAAGTGGAGGCCCCTCTTGTCTCCCTCCCAGACGAAGTGTCTGGGGAAGACGGTCGGTTATCTTCACAGGCATAACCATCTTGAGCTTTGTCAATATCATTATTTAGCTAGCTCCTGCTTCAGGAAGATTAGAAAGCATTTAACCATGTGATTCATTAACACAATGTCACCTGGGTTTTAGACACTAAATCCTGGCTCCTCCATCTAATTCTCAAATAGATCATTGTGTGCAAGTTATTTGAAGTTGTTTTTATGTCAATTTTCCCAAACATAAGTTAGAAACATTTAGTGCTTTAAAGATTATTGTGAAAAGCATAGTTTTTGTCTTATTATCCAAATGTTTTCAACTGTTTGGGGCCATTTTGGCATTGAAAGTTCATTAAAACTTGGTTCTTTTCTAAGATCTTAAATTACACATAAGTAGCCTGACGAAGACATATGTGTTATATTGTCATTAACATTTTTCACAACTCATACATGCACTTAAGATTTGTTCTTGGAATACATACAAGGTGGATCCTTTTTAAAGTGGTGCTATGTTTAAGGAAACTGAAAAAGAAAATGAAGACATAAAATGACCTTGTAATATCCTTTAGAGCAAACTTTTGAGTTTTTTCAACTTAAAATATGAAGACTGCTGCGCAATGTATATGTAAGTCATCGTTAAAGGAATACACAGACAGCAATTCTATGCATTATTCATGTGATTGCAATTTTGGAAAATAGGTTACAATGTTCCCTTTGTTTTTAGTTTCTTCTTATCTTAATCAAACTTAAGTAATTGATAGTCAGTTTCTCTTGGAGAGTTTCCTTTTTCACAACTTCTCTGGGAGGGATTATTGTTCTTTTATAGTGTGAATGGTAGGTGCTTGAGAAATTGCTGGGAGCAAAAACAAACCTTTGTAGATGTGTGTGTGTGTGTGTGTGTGTGTGTGTTGAATGGTTCTGACCAAATATAAGTGCTAGTTTGCCCAAACACTGTTTTTCCCATTTCAGTGTTTCCTAAAGTTGGTCCTCTCTGGAGAGTGATTTGCTCCTTGTCCATGAGTCATCTGTCTTCCAAGCCAGCATCTCTCTGACTCTTGCCTTTTCCTAGATCAGCTCTTTGCCAAGTGGATGACTCAGAGCTCAGGTTCCACCAGTACAGTGAGGTGTGGCTGGTCCACAGCCGTCTCAGCTGACCTTGAGCAAGGTGTCCTCAGGAGCCGGGAGAGCCGGCCGCAGCCATGAGACCCACTATGCAGTCGAACAGAGCCAAGCCCTTGACCTTGCTTGCTGCTTTTAAAAAAACGAGGAAGGGGAAGGGACCTTCTCTGGAAAAAGTAGCTGGGATTTCAGTTGTTTTATTTTGCTGTTCACAAGAATCTAATAGGCTTCTGGAGGGATAGATAGAGGGCTGTTCCTCTCTTCATACTCACGCAGAAAGTATAATTCTGTTTTTGAAGATTCAACACACATGTATTAGGAAGCTCAAGAGGCCACTATTGATCACAATTTATTTATTTATTTATTTAATCCTCACCCGAGGACATTTTTTCGTTTTTTTGTTCAGATAAAGTCGGAGGGAAAGAGAGGAAGAGAGAGAGAGAGAAACATCGACGTGAAAGGGACACATCAAGTGGTTGCCACCCACACAGCCCAACCAGGGTCGGGAACAAAGTGCAACTGAGGTATGTGCCCTTAGCGGGAACCAAACCCGGGTCTCTCAGGACCACAGGCCAACACTCTAACCGCTGAGTCAAACTGGCCAGGGCTGATCATAATTTAAATTGTTAAATTGCCCATTAACTTATTTGGCATATTTTCAATGCTACATTTTTTAATCAAGTGAAAGACAAATTCTGTAAGTTCCTGTGTGTGCGTAGTTTTTTTTTTTTTTTTTTTTTTAATTACTAATGGTTATTACAATAGAAAGCAGTGTGGCTGTTGCGTTTCTGCAGAGCTCAGCCGGAACGTTAAGCCCCGTAGCTGTGGAGAGTCTGCTCCGAGCTGCTGGAGGTGTCACGCGCCTCCTCGGCAGAGAAGGTGTGGGAGTCTTCACTGAGGATGCATGAAAGGGTTAAACCTCATGCCAAAGGGGAACCAATGATGACTCATATGCTGGGTATGAAACCCAAGTCTACCCAGGCTCTTCTGTGAACCCTTCCCAGACCTTTCACACCCGTTTACTTCTGTGTGATGATGGGTCACGGGAGGAACAGGGAAGTGGGTTGGGGGAAACTGGGCAGTGAGGGAGGTAGAATGGGGAAATGACAGGAAAACATGAGTATTTGGTGGAATATTAAAATGACTCCCTAGAAACCACAGAAAGTCTCCAATTAGTTAAAGAAGGGAAGAGAACGAAAAGTCAAGTGAAGAGAGACAGCGAGCACCAGAGCACACCCGTCAGAGACACAGAGTGATCGAGTTGTGCCAGGAGAAAGCTAGGCTGTCAACACGTCCACATTTTATTCTCCGACCTGTGAAGTGTCTGCTGTTACCACGAGGGGTGGGTTGAGGGAGTAGTCGCGTGTTCGGACTACTCAGAGAAGTTCAGAGCGCGTGGAGTTCACCGGGATGGGGTGGTTGGAGCGCTGGGTACCCGCCCGCTCCACGAGGTCTCTCTCATGGCTGGTGTTACGGTAGCACTCGTCCGTAGTGCTGGTCTGCGCGTCTGTCCCCTGCCGCCACCACTGTGGACATCCTGGTGCGCACTGTGATGGCATTACGAGGTGGGACCTTCGGGAGGTGAGTGGGTCATGCGAGTGGAGTCCCTTTCGATGGGATTAGAGCCCCTATGAAAGAGGCTCAGGGAGCTCCGTAGCCCTTTCTGCCATATGGGGACACAGAGAGAAGCCAACGACCCAGAGGAGGGCCGCCACCAGAACACAACCATGCTGGCACCTTGATCTTGGGCTTCCAGCCTCCAGAACTGGGAGGAATAACTGTTTCTGTTCAAAGCCACCCAGTGTGTGGTATTTTGTTATAGCAGCCTGAACAGACTAAGACACCTAGGATGAAAGTGTCTTTGTCTTTGGTGATGTTTGAACATACTTCCTTTCATAACTTCATATGTCTTTCTTGGTACACCCTTGTGCTGAAATGTTTGTCTTGCTTGTACTCGAGTCTCATGGGTCTAATTCTCACTAGGACATGTTTGAAACAGAGCTGCTCAGCATCGTCTTTGGTCAGAGAGAGACAGTTCCCACCACGGCAGTCAGTGGGCAGGCCCTTCCTCTGGAGGGAGCCCTGGCGAGGAACTCTGGTCTTTCCCCTTCGTA